GTTATAACAATAACATGACACATTTAAGTTGATAATTCAATGTTAAGTTAAACATTTCACAGATTTAACAGTTAAAAAATATCAAAAAGTACAATTATTATAACAATTAACCAAATTCAATGTTCATTGTTGTTTTAAAATTACAAAAAAATCAAAGAAAAGAAAAATAATCAAAAATTATCGTGACTTTGGAATATTATCAAAATCGTCCAAAAAGTGTCCTTTACTCTTGTGGTCCACCATGTACTTATACAATTGCCCAACTGTAGGTTTGTTTACTCGAATGACTTTCACAAACTCTCGAATTTCATTGCCAAATGGTGTATCATTAAATGTGTTATAAATCATATCTCTTCCATTCAAAGCACATGCACACATCTGTATAATGAATTTAAGTCTCATATCTCCTTTATAAGCACCACTTCCCCATTTTCCCGTTGAAAATATTGGTAGTGTCTTCTCCGTTTCTTTCGCACCTCTTTCTGTTGCTGAAAGCACTTTATGAAGTTCTCTTTCTATACCCCAAGGCAGATATTGGCCGTTCTTTCTGTCTCCACCTTTCAATGCGTCAAAAGCGGTCCAGTCGTGTTTTCTTTTTGTTATTATTTATACTGTTCTGATTGAAATATAACATTTAAATTATAATAACTACTATAATTATATTATATAAATTATTTATATATTATAAATAATATATATATTATATATATTATATATATAATAATACTTATAAGTATTATAGATATTATTATATTATTATATTATTATTATTATTATTCATTATTATTATTATTATTATTATTATTATTATTATTATTATTATTATTATTATTATTATTATTATTATTATTATTATTATTATTATTATTATTATAATAAATACAAAACAAACTCCTTCTTTGAAAACACCTCTTTGGTTGTGTTATATCCATGGGAATATCCTTCCCCATCGGAGTATTTAATTACATTATACATCCGAATAGAATCTTTGTCTTCCATCCCTTCACATAGTAATAAACTGACTAAAGACTCTGGACATTTCAAAAAGAGGATCTCTTCTTGCACCATACCCATATTGAGCACACCACCGCCAATATACTTATTAGCAAAGTCCGCCTCAAGTGCTCCCTGTTTATCTTCAATAACACCGACATCATCGACTTCGACATTCCCAACGACTTTCACTTCACTTCTTGCGAAGTCAAATTTTTTCACAACATTTCTTTCAACCACAACAATTTCATCTAAAACTTTAGACTGTTTCAATTTTTCATTTTTGTGGAATCACAGT